CCCCCCCCCCCCCGTGTGGCAGGGGCCTGAATTCCCAGCTTTCGATTTTTGAAAAAAGTCTCCCACTTGCAGAGATGGAAAGGAAAAGGCATATCTTTGCCAGCACCTAGAGGCCTTTAAAAAAAAAAAAAAACCCAAAGGTGAAAATTCAGCTGACTCTCTTGGTGGTTTGGAAGAGTTTACAAAAAGGAGTCTAGTTCACTGTTAGCAATATCTTGTGCTGCCATACCTGTTACTGGAATTCCAAAAACAACAACTATGACAAAAATAACGAAGAGTCAATAAAGATAAGTTGCAAAAACATTTACTGTAGTAATTCTGTAGAAAATTTTCTTCCATGATCGCTCACACGCTAACGAATACTGTGCAATGTAAACAATTTGTTTCACAATATTTGCTTTATCTGAGCATGTAGCAATCCCAGTATACCAACATAAACATGTTCTAGTGTCAATTTAAAGGGAAAAAATAGCAAAAGCCCTGGGGGGTAAAATTGGCAGCTCTGGGTTGGAAAATTCCTGAATATTTGAGGGTGGAAGCTGAGGAGGGGAGGGGAGGGACAGGACCTCAGTGGACTATAATGCTGAAGCAACCCCATAGCCAAAAGTTTTGGGTTGGTGGGGCATGGAGAACTTTTGTGGGACAGCGGGGGAGGAGGAGAGGGGCAGCAGCTGTTGTGGGGCATGTTTGGTGTAGTGGTTACCAATGTTCCCTCTAAGCTATGGAGTCTTGTGAGCAAAAATTCTACTTTGTGAGCTACTGGCATTAAAGTTGTGAGCAGGTGATTTGGCTACTGCATAAATTGGTTTGCTCGGGAGCCATCCTTCCTGAGCTAAGACAAAAACGTGTGAGCCAGAGGCTAAAAAACCGTGAGCTAGCTCACACCAACTCAGTTTAGAGGGAACATTGGTGGTTACGTATGCGGACTCTAATCTGGGAGAACCGGGTTTGGTTTCCCACTCCTCCACTTGCACCTGCTGGATGACCTTGGGCAAGCCACAGTTCTGTCAGAGCTGTTCTTGAAAAAGAGCAGCTCCTGTCAGAGCTCTCTCAGCCCCACCTACCTCACAGGGTGTCTGCTGTGGGGAGGGGGAGGGAAAGGAGTTTGTAAGCCGCTCTGAGACTTAGGTAGTAAAGCCCGGGGTATAAATCCCATCTCTTCTTCTTATCACATTTGAGGGGTCAGAGCCCCGAAATGCCCCACCATAGCTATGGGCCTGTGCCATAAAGTCCACTTTCCAGAGCAGCCAATTCCTCCAGGGGCACTGATCTCTGTAACCTGGAGACCAGTTGTGATTCCTGGAGATCTCCAGCCACTCCCCAGAGACTGGCAGCCCTGTTGGTGGCCCCGGGGAGGAGGCTTGGCCGCCTTCTAGGGGCTTTGGGCAGGGAACCGTAGGGAAACCTGCTCTATGGAAGCCTTGCTGCTGTTGCGCTTTATCAGCAGCTGCACCGGCAATATGGGGAAACCACAAAATCATATCCTCTTGGAAAGGGAAAAATACCTAATTAAAAACTTATCGGTAGCAACAAGGCAAATGCTCCCCCAGGCCTGGCGGCAGTCGTATCTACTGGGCCTAGATGAGTGGGTATGTAAAGTAACGTCATGTGATTTTGATAAATCAAATAGCCTACGTAAGATCTATGAAGGAAAAAAGGGCTCTTGGGAACTTGTATGTTAAAGTTTGGACTCCATTTATCAGTTATTGAAACCTATACTGGCCAATAGGACAGGTCAAAGACATTAGATATATCTAATTGTCTGACCGTAAGTAGTAGTGTAAGGAGCTGCAGTGTAAGGAGCTGCAGTGGCTCAAGTGGTTAAGACGCTGAACTGCAGACTGTGGAAGGTCAGTAGTTCAGCAGTTCGAGACCCGGGTGCCGCATGATGGAGTGAGCTCCCATTTCTAGTTCCAGCTCCTGTCAACCTAGCAGTTCGAAAGCAAGAAATTGCAAGTAGATAAAGAGGTACCACTTCAGTGGGAAGGTAACAGCGTTCCGTGCGCCTTGGTGTTTAGTCATGCCGGCTACATGACCACGGAAACTTCTTCGGAGAGCGCTGGCTCTTCGGCTATGAAACGGAGATGAGCACCACAACCCTAGAGTCGGATTCGACTGGCTTTCGAGCAAGGGAACCTTTACCTTAAAGTAGTAGTGTAGTGTAGGCAGTAGGGTTTGGACCTCACACTGAAGAACTGTATGGAATTTTTGGAGTGATTAATGTGACCAATTACATTTTTGTAATTAATGTGATTTTCTAATTTAAAAAAAAGAATGGGGGGGGGGGAATCCCATCTTCGTGTGGAAGCCAGTTTAGATGCAAACTTATCCAATTCAGCCATACCTTACTCAAGGTTAGGATCATGCCGTTGGGACTCATTTCTCAGCATTCTGCCTGTTGTACTTGCAGGGCATTTCATGGGGAAAAAGAGTGCTGGCGACTTTCCTTACATGTATGAAGAGCAAAACAAGGCACCCTTTTCTTTGCTGCTGGATGACATCAAGAGGCTTGAGGAGGATCCGCGTTGGGAGGAGACGGCGAAGAAGCTTCTGCGACTTCTCGAGGCAAATGACAGCCGAGGCACTCAGGTTTTCAGGGAAGAATTGTCATTTCCCGCCAAGAACACCTGGGAGGCAGAGGATAACAGCAGTTTTAAAGACGTGAGTGTTAAAGTCCAAAATTGCCTGAATATCTGATTTGCCTAATACATTTCTGTCCTTCCCTTCCTCCAGAGAGCTCAGAGGGGCCTGGTTTTCCTTCTTCATTCCTCAGTCTGTCTTCTCAACAACCCAGTGAGGCAGGGTGGGCTATGGGGGGATGACAAATCCAAAGTCTCTGCTTCGTGGCTGAGGGGGCAGGATTTGAATTCCACCCTCCCAGAGCCTATTCCAAATTTCTGATTGCTACAGTACACTTAGACTTAACTATCCAGGGCAGTCAAATGTGATAATTTGCAAAATAGGGTTTTGTTGTGGCTGGTAATATAGTCAGTAAGGACAAAAAAGAGAAAAGGGAAAAAAACTGAACCTAAAATCCAGAATTCAGAACCTAAAAAGGTTAGTCAAGAATAGAAGAGGGCCAAATCTAAAAAATCTAATTATGAAACATACAAAAACATACATGTATTTATTCAACACAAATTAAAATAACAAATAAGGGCCCATTCATACCTCATATACAAATATAAAAACATACAAAGGCTAATGAAATAGGTATGAATGGGCCTTTATTTGTTATTTTAATTTGTGTTGAATAAATACATGTATATTTTTGTATGTTTCATAATTAGATTTTTAGAGTTGGCCCTCTTCTATTCTTGACTAACCTTTTTAGGTTCTGAATGGTAATATAGTCAGGACATTCATCGAGAATATTGCTGTTTTTCAAGCATTCCCTCAGACTGTGCAAGCCAGGGTAGGATAGGCCAAAAGCACGAACTATATCAAATGAGATTCAGGGGCTCTGAAGCAACAGAACAAAATCTGAGTCCAGCGGCACCTTTAAGACCCACCAAGTTTAATTCTGGGTCTAAGCTTTTATGTGTGTTTGAAGAAGTGTGCATGCACACAAAATTTTAGACCCAGAATTATACTTGGTGGGTCTTAAAGGTGCCATTGGCCTCAAACTTTGTTACCGTATTTTCCGGCGTATAAGACGACTGGGCGTATAAGACGACCCCCAACTTTGAGTTTTCCAGTTAAAATATAGAGCTGTGCTAATGCTTCTGGCGTACCGGCGTATAAGACGACCCCCCACTTCTGAGAAGATTTCCCTGGGTTAAAAAGTAGTCTTATACGCAGGAAAATACGGTATATCAAATGATGTTCATTTTGAGGAAAATTAAAGGACTTGAAAAGGATCCATTTCCCAAGTGGTGCTTTCTTGGTTTTTATCCAAAGTGTATAAATTGTGTTGAATTCTATTAACCAGGGACAAATGATCCATGAGGCTGAAAAGATCGATGACTGGAGTTCCCCACAGGCCCAGAGAAAGTCCTTTAATAACATGACTGTAAGCCCCTATGAAAAGGATAGTTCAGTTTGTTGGCAGTGCTATCCATGACTGGATCTGCTGATTATATAATTTAATGGTAAAAAGCAGTTGTAGGGTATGGGTCAGGGCCTCCGCCTGGGGAAAGGAGATTTAACCTTTAGCCCTCAGACCATTCTCCCAAAGCAAAAATTCTCTTTGCCTTGGCTTCTTTAAGCCCCAGGAGAGACAGAAGAGGAACAATACAACAACCTGAAGAAGTCTGTGTGCACACGAAAGCTTCTACCCAGAATTAAACTTTGTTGGTCATAAAGGTGCCACTGGACTCAAACTTTGTTTGAATATAAAAACTTGTTCCCTGCCCCCCAGCTGAGGCTAAACATAGCCCGAGGGAGCCATTTCTCACAGGGAATACTGAAGAAGAAGAGAAGAAGAGATTGGCTTTATACCCCGCCCTTCACTTGGAGTCTCAGGGCGGCTTACAATCTCCTTTCCCTTCCCCTCCCCACAACAGACACCCTGTGAGGTAGGTGGGGCTGAGAGAGCTCTGAGACAACTGTCCTTGAGAGAACAGCTCTGACAGAACTATGGCTTGCCCAAGGTCATCCAGCAGCTGCAAGTGGAGGAGTGGGGAATCAAACCTGGTTCTTCCAGATTAGAGTCCGCACACTTAACCACTACACCAAACTGGCTCTCAGGGGAAGGGGAAGAGAAAAGCCTAGCGCACTAAACCCTGCCTTATACAGAAGTGGGAGGAGGCTAGGGTTGCCACCCTCCAGGTGGTGGTTGGGGATCTCCCAGAATTACAACTGTTCTCCAAACAACAGAGATCAGTTCTCCTGGAGAAAACGGCTGCTTTGGAAGGTGGGCTGTATGGCATTATACCCCTCTGAGTTCCCTCCACAAACCCCATCCTCCTCAGGCTCCACCCTGTTCCCAACCAAGAGCTGGTAGCCATAGAGAAGGCAGACTATTCCTCCATCTAGGCCTTGGAAGTGGCTCAGTAGGCCTCAGGCCTGCCCCTGTCCAGTTACTTTTAGACATGTCTAGGACTGAACCTGAGACCTCCTGACCCAAATACAACCACGTCCTTAGCCAGTGAGCTAATACCATTATTGTTGCAATAGCTAAACAGCTCTCAGCTTGTGGGAACTGAGCTAATACCATTATTGCTGCAATAGCTAAACAGCTCTCAGTTTGTGGGAACAATAAATAATAGTTGCAGGAGTTGCTCTAACTGTTTCTATGTGGGATTGCATTGAAGAAGTTTGGGGTGCCTGAAAGTGACCCTGGGGTTTCCATTCCTCAGTTGGGGGCAGGGATCCCCCAGTTTTGCGGGCTCATTGTCAGCTCCTGTGTCACCTTGGTAGTATATTGAAGCCCCTCTTGCCCAAGTTACTTGCCTGATCACATTCCTTTTCACACTGGTGTTTGTCTCCAATTTGTTTATGCCCTCACCATCAGGGTGACCCTTTATGACCAGAGATTATGGAGGAACATGAGGAGAAGGCACAGGCAAGTGTGTGTGTATGTGCTTTAGCAGTTAGAATTCTCATTAATCTTACCGAAGCGGGTGAGAATAAATCACCTTAAGACTGAATACGTCGGAGCCGATTCAAATAATCATTTGTAGGATGGGGAAAAGGCTTCTTCCAGTTTGGTATAGTAGATAAGAGCAGTGGACTGTAATCTGGAGAGCCGGGTTTGATTCCCCACTCCTCCACACGCAGCCATCTGGGTGACCTTGGGCCAGTCCCAGTTCTCTCAGAGCTGTTCGCTCAAGAGCAGTTCTCTCAGAGCTCTCTCAGCCCCACCTACCTCACAGGGTGTCTGTTGTGGGGGGGGGGGGGGGAAGGGAGGGGGATTGTAAGCCACTCTGAGTGAAGGACGGGGTATAAATCCAACCCTTCAGGGTATAAATCCCTTTGGAAAGGACTTGAAACATGCCTCATATGCCATATATACAATCTCCTGGACTAAAAATGTTGCTTGTATTCTTAAAACTACATAAACTGAATATATTATGATGATGAGTTTGCAGCCCAGGTTGGGCTCAATCCATGTCTCTAGCACCCCCTCCCAACAGTTGGCTCCTGTTTATCTGAGATGCGACTTTTCCAACTTCATCGGCAATCAGCAAACCAAATGAGATAATTAATGTTCATTAAAACCGTCGACACTTAGAAATGATGCTTTTGTTCACAAAGTAGTGCTTCGTGCATAAATGCGTATTGAACTATCCGGCGTCTTTTTGCAAGACACTTCTCCAAATATTATTCTTTCGCTGTTTTTTGTTTTGGTTAATCAGATGATGGATTATCTGCTGCAAGCGATGGAGAGGAAAGAGAGTTCTCCAAGCTGAAACAACCGCTCCTTGACACTGAAGGCATAGAAGGATATCCTTAAGAGACTGTGGTTTCATAAGCATTTAACTGTATATGATGATTGATTCAACAAAAATCTTTTGTGTTAATCAGATTTCTTTTGATGCCAAATGACCCATTCATTTGTATTCCACTTAACACTCTTCGGTGGCTTTCCCCCTCCTTCCAGGCAGCCTTTTCCCTTCTCTGAACTGCTTTGTTGTAAATAATTGTCAATGAAGAGTCTTCCAGTCCTCGGATGTTCCTTCGCCTATTCTCTTTCCAATCATTCCAGCTTTTATGTTGCAATAATTTAACATTTCCAACATTCACAATAAATGTTTTAAAAAGAGAAAAAAACTATTATGGTTCCTTTTATTCAGGTTAATGGCAAATGGCAATCAAAAAACCCTTTTAGACATTATGATTTTGGCATTCTGACCTCATGTAACAGGACTGTTCCAATACACACAGTAAATAGGTTGTGTAAGGTCCCGTTCACACTCACTGATTTGGTCCGGGAGCAGGACAGTTTGGGGCCGGATCAAACCGGCGCAATCACACCACAACATCTGGGAAGCGTCCAGCTTCCGTACCCAAACTGTCCCTTTCCCGGGATGAGCCGGCGCAAACTGAACCACCTATCTAGGTGGTTTAAAGGGAAGCGGCGCGGCAACCGGGGCGTTTGATCGCCGCCGCTTCCCTGCGCCGGCTCAACCCCGGCCCGGATCCAAACTGCGCATGCCCGGACATGCGCAGTTCGGCCGGCCCCCGGGTAGGGCGTGTTTTCTCCCCGGCGTTTGATCGCGCCGGGGAGAAAAGGCGGCGCGGCCGGGGGATCCGTGGGATCCCGCCGCGCCGTGTCAACATTGGCGCGGCTTTTAAAAGCCGCGCCTTCAAGCGCCTTTTCCCCTGCGTGTGGCAGGGGCCAATATAAGTCATAGAATCATAGAGTTGGAAGGGACCTCCAGGGTCATCTAGTCCAACCCCCTGCACAATGCTGGAAATTCACCAATACCTCCCCCCCCAGTGATCCCTGTTCCACGCCCAGAAAATGACAAAAAACCTCCAGGATCTCCAGCCAAACTGGCCTGGAGAAAAATTGCTTCTGAATCCTGACCCCAAAGTGGCGATCAGCATTTCCCTGGGTGTGTAAGAAAGGGTCGTGAGATCTAAGCACTGAGGCAACCCTTCCTGCCCTCCCTCTCATGAGCTAGCTCTGTCAGGAAGTTCTTCCTAATGTTTAGCCGGAAAACTCTTTGTGCATTTTCAATGTGTGTATTTTCCGACATTACTATGCACAACCACACAGCCTCCAAAATCTGGGTTTCCAGTCACGAGCACCAAAGCTGGCAAATACACATGCATTCATGCAAAATGGCAACCGCACATATTGGATTACCAAAATTGTAAAGAATGAACAGGACTAGAGTTAGACCTTCACTCCTCTGAGAGGCAAGACGTTCAGGAAGTTGTGTTGAACTGGCTGGCTCTCTTTAGAGAAAAGACTTTAGAGAGTTATGGTGTTTTTGTATGATTGATTTTACAAATATGCAAGCAGAGCCGATTGGTTAACGGATTCACTGTTGGTGGTGAAAAGCACTGTCAAGTCACAGCTGACTTATGATGACTCCACAGGGTTTTCAAGGCAAGAGACAGAGGTGAATTGCCATTGCCTCCCTATGCATAGCAACACCTGACTTCCTTGCTGGTTTCTCGTCCAGGTACAAACCAGGGCTGACCCTACTTAGCTTCCAAGATACAATGAGCCTGGGCTAGCCGGGGCCATCCATGTCAGGGCAGGTCCACACCCCTGCATCAAATTGCCAGTGAGGGAGAGAGATTGAGATCTTGCATCATGAAATGCTCAGCAGACTCAAAGTTGGTTCTGTCTGCTGTTTCCTCTTCAGGTTACATATTCAGCCCTCCTGTTTCTTGACCCATACACACCAATGCCTGCCCCCTTCCAGAGAGCCAGTTTGGTGTAGTGGTTAAGTGCACAGACTGTAATCTGGGGGAACCGGGTTTGATTCCCCACTTCTCCACTTGCACCTGGCTGGATGACCTTGGGCAAGCCGTAGCTCTGATAAGAGCTGTTCTTGAAAACGAGCAGTTTCTGTCAAGAGCTCTCTCAGCCCCACCTACCTCACAGGGTGTCTGTTGTGGGGAGGTGAAGGGGAAGGAGTTTGTAAGCCGCTCTGAGACTCCCTTGGGTAGTGAAGGGTGGAGTATAAATCCAGTCTCTTCTCCCCCTTAGCTGGGAGGGGTCACATTTTCCAGACACAGAAACTTCCACAGAACTGCAAGCAGTCAGCCTCCCCATCACTGGCAGTCTTCAAGCAGCGGCTGGACAAACATTTGTCAGGGATGCTCTAGGCTGATCCTGCATTGAGCAGGGGGTTGGACTAGATGACCTGCGTGGCCCCTTCCAGCTCTGTGATGCTATGATTCTATCTAAAAATGGTAAAACCCGTGAAGTAGAATAATGCAAGTTTCAGATTTTTTTTTGGTAAGGTCTCCACTTTGTCAAAAACAACTTTTGAGCAACTTTTTATCCCCGAAGTAAAAGCATTTTAGCGTTGCATGGCCCATCGTCTTCACGACCAGGTGGGTCCCAAACATTTCCACGGCTCTGTTCAGTTTGCAAATGGGGAAAAAAAACACCAACCCAGTGGTGTCCTTGAACAAAGTGCACCATCTGAATTGCCCCCACATTGGTTCTCTGGGAGAGAAGACATAGCCAATCAGGATTGGTAGGAGAAAGCTGTCACCTCTAGTTGGAAGCTAGCCAATATGCAACCAGCAAGTCGGATTTTCAATACTTTGGCAGACAAAGGAAAGGAAGGCGGATTCTGGAAGCCTAGCTATGTGATCTGTGTGAGACTGCACAGCAAACTGAACACACACACATCATCACCAGTGTTCCCTCTAAGCTGAGTTAGTGTGAGCTAGCTCACAGTTTTTTAGCATCCAGCTCACACATTTTTGTCTTGGCTCAGGAAGGATGGTTCCAGAGCAAACTAATTGATGCAGTAGCCCAATCACTCGCTCACGACTTTAATGCCAGCAGCTCACAAAGTAGAATTTTTGCTCACAAGACTCCACAGCTTAGAGGGAACATTGATTCATCACGTGGGTGGTTTGGTCTTAGCACCGGTTAAGATAGGTTAGCAAAACAGTGCCCATTTAGCTTATGTCCATTCCAGTCCAATGGACATACAAAGCTGCCATATTCTGAATGAGACCACTGGTTCATCAAAGTCAGCACTGTCTACTATGGCCCCGGTCACACAGGAGATTTTGGCCCGGGAGAGGGATGGATCGGGGGAGCATCAAACGGGCGCGAGCACACCGCGACATCTGGGAATCGGCTCGTACCCATCCCTGATCTGTCCCTTCAGGCCAATAACGCGCTGTAAAAAAGAACCACCCCCAGAGGAGGACTTACCTGGGACGCCGCATCAAGCGCGGCCATGGGATCGCCGGCGCGCTGTTCGTTCATAGCAATCCCGGCTCCCAGCCGAACTGCGCATGCTCACACATGCGCAGTTCGGCTGCCTCGCTTCCCTGTCAGTGGCTTCCCCCCGGCATCTGATCGTGCCAGGGAGGAAGTGCGCAGCAGCTCAGGGGATCTATGTAATCCTGCCGCCGCATGTCTCTTCCCCCCCCCCCCCCCCTCGCGGGGCCACTGATTGGCAGCAGCTCTCCAGGGCCTTGCGTAGAGGTTGTTCAGATCCACCTGCTACCAGATCCTTGTAAGTGGAGATGCTGGGGATTGAACCTGGGGCCTTCTGCATCCGAATGCTCTACTACTGAGCCATGCCCTTCCCCCTTTCCTGGAAACTGCCAGGACCTTCTTGTGCAAAATGAACAAAATCCCTGTATAGCTGGTGCGGCATCTGGGATGGGTTCTCGCTTGCTAATGAAGGAAAGGGTTGCCAGCTACACCTCCCTCCCTCTAGTCATGTGCCTCTGCACCACTGTTCCCTCTAAGCTGAGTTAGTGTGAGCTAGCTCACAGTTTTTTTTAACCTCCAGCTCACATATCTTTGTCTTAGCTCAGGAAGGAGGGCTCCAGTAGCCAAATTGCTCACTCACAACTTTAATGCCAGTAGCTCCAAAGTAGAATTTTTGCTCACAAGACTCCACAGCTTAGAGGGAGCATTGCTCTGCACATGTTCTCACTTTAAGTGACTGGGACATAATGATGGCCCAGGAGCAGGCCAAGCTGAGCATCTCCTGGGGCCGCTCAGCTCATGAACACATGAAGCTGCCTTATACTGAATCAGACCCTTGGTCCATCAAGGTCCGTATTGTCTTCTCAGACTGACAGTGGCTGTCCAGGGTCTCAGGTACAGGTCTTTCACATCACCTACTGCCAGTTCCTTTAACTGGAGATGCCAGGCATTGAACCTGGGACCTTCTGCATGCCAAGCAGAGGCTCTTCCACTGAGCCACAGCAGGCTCTACTGGTAGCAGGAGCTCCTTTGCATTAGGCCACACACCCCTAGTGTAGCCAATCCTTCAAGAGCTTACAGAGCTCTTCTTACTGGGGCTACTGTAAGCTCTTGGAGGATTGGCTACACTAGGGGTGTGTGGCCTAATATGCAAAGGAGCTCCTGCTACCAGTAGAGCCCTGCGTGACAGCACCTCCCCTTAACTCAGACAGCTGCTGGTGACAAATATGGGGGTGGGCTCACTCATCACATCCTGCATTGCCACTGTCCAGTCTTAGCCAAGCAGCCCCTGTGAACAACAGCAAACCTCTGGGACTTGGGCTGGTAAGCTGAATGGCCAGCGTCTGCCTTTCCTCCCGTCACCTGTTCTCCCCCCTCCCCAGAGTGGCAGGTGCTTCTGAGTTGAGCTGTAAGTTTAGGATCCATGGATCTGTTTTTTTTTACAGACAATTCTGGAATCATTTAAAGAAGAACCCAGTCTGCAAAAGTACTTTCAGCATCTCCATTACTGAACAGTGCTTGTGATACCAGAGAATCTGCACGAGGGCGAGCCAGTGTGGGAACCAGAGATTCTGCCCCTTTAAG